CAACTGTTATATGAAGTGGTCTCGAGACTTTCGACTCTAAAAGTATCAAATGCGTTAAGCTTGCACCAATTTGTTTTCTTGGAACAGGTATGCCTTCCATCTGTTGTTGCCGAGTTCCTTAAACAAGCCAAAGCTGGTGGTCTATTCATCGTCTCAAAAGCCTTCATTTTCGATGACCTACTCGAGTCTGAGCTTTCGTGTGCCTTTGGCGGGTTTGAGAGGCTTGATACATTCTTCCCGTTTGACCCGTGCCTGTTGAAAATCTCTAACAGGTTTTACTATCTTTTTTTTATTTTTGTCTCTTCTGAGGTGAACCACTAATCAATATATGTATGAGAAACTTATAGTTTATCGTTGTCTTGTCAAATCTTGAAGCCATATCTCCCCGAACTTCAACTACTGGTCAAATGTGAGACCAACTTATGACGAAGATGATGACGATGAGCTCTGTCCTGAGGTCATAGTGAATGGAGATGCGGACAGTGAGGAAGACTCCGATGATGAAGAGGATCTCGATTACGAGATGTCGATAACGCCTAAACACTCGTTCATGCTAGAAACAGAGAGACTCTTGAAGATGCCTTGTAGAATTAGACCATCCACCAGTCCTGAATCCTTCTAAAATTCTAATCGAGGGAAATGCAATTTTGCAAATTAGGTTTCGTTCTCTTAATACAAAATCTTTTCGAGTGTGTATCAATATGGATAACATTATTGACCAAACCATAAGTTAAGTTTTGTAACAAGGACAAATGTTTCATATTTCACTTATAATAGAAAGTTTTTTGAAGAACAAGTCACTGTGGTTCGACTAAAAAAAATAAAATAAAAAGTCACCTTTGCGGTCTCTCTCGGTTTGGGATTCAATTTGGTTTACTTTGTCCACGATTGGTTAATATAGATTTTAATTTTGGAAATAACCGGAAATGTGCCTGCGATTTAGACCGGTACGGTATGCTGAAGAATCTCTCCTCTTTAACCTCAGCGTCTGCTTCTGCTTCTTCTCTTTCGTTTTCGTTTCCAATCAGCAAAAAACCCTAAAAGCACTCGACACTTCAGAGAGAAGAAGATGCCTCCAAAAGCCAAAGCTAAAGATGGAGCTCCCGTAGAGAGACCTATTCTTGGTCGCTTCTCTTCTCATCTCAAGATCGGAATCGTAAAAATCA